CCCCCAAAGTTGATGGCTTCACGACGTCCCTGATTGAAAGGCGAACCCTCTGTGCCAGCGTAGGTAGGCCAAACTAACCAGAGGTGTAACTTAACACTTGCCCGCGGGGCAGGTGAATATCATGACGGCCAAGTAAACGTTTTATCTTGCTTGCCCAAGTTGCCTTGCCACAAAAAGCTGGGCATCTTTAAGTTTATGTTTTCATTTTCGGATAAATTTTTTATAATGCATGGACTTGATTCAAATTTTGTTTTTTGAGTGGGTCAAAGCTAGATCTGAGGCAGTATAACATAGCCATATAGAGCAATGGGAGAACGGGTCGATATGTTGTCCCCTTAATTTATACTCTTACCCAGGTACCCCAGTGGTTATTGTCTGATGGGCTGATGCCTGATGGCAAGTGAATTTTTTTCAGGGCAACTAATTTTCATGTCCAACTTGCCCTGAGCTACGGCAAGAGGTCAAAAAAGTAAAGTTACACCACTGCTAACGTTGACTACTAACTTGGCGAGGAAATGCCTTCGCTCGAAATGTCGAAGTTTTGCTCGTATTGTTCAGATAGTTGAATCGCTCTCAATTCTCAGCTTTCTGGGGGCGTTGAAAATACTCGAAAGAGTTTAAAGGAGAGGATCTCTATCTTTTTCAGCATGTGTCCAGGCAACAGTCGAGCTATCGCTGGTATACACCGTGTAGAAAGCCTGAATGCTGGTACAGTCCGAGACAGTCCTGATGATCTGGCCGCTTTAGAAGAAAGAAATATGATGATTGAAAGTTCCGAGGTATATGACTGACTGTACACGTACACTAAGAATTCAATGCAAACACCCTATTTGCTTGTGATTTTGTGATGAATATATCAGTTGGACACCAGTTTAGAATTGACAGAGCTATCCGGTATAAATGAAGATACTTTGGTTAAGATTCCTTCTGTATATAGTAGCACTGGATAGCCTTTACCGGACCTCTATTGGGAGAACAGTTTAGAACTAGTAGAGCTATATGCAGTATAAATAAAGATAGTTTAGTAAATTTAAGCTTCCTCCTGTAGTGACACAGGATCAATATGATACATCCTTAATTGGACCTCTAGGGTGAACAAATAGAGCTATCCAGTATAAATAAAGATAGTTTAGGTTTCCTCCTGCAGTAAAACTGGATCAATAAAAGATTATCCTTACCGTACCTCTAGGGACTGATAGAGTTATCCAATATAAATAAAGGTGGTTTAGATAATGTTTCCTCCTGTAGTAACACTGAATCAATGAGACATGACATGATCCTTACTGGATCTTTAGGTACAACAGTTTAGAACTGATAGAGCTATATAGTATAAATAAAGTTAGTTTAAATTTCCTCCTGTAATAAAGCTGGACAAGTATGAGATAACTTTTACTTGAACTCCTGGGAGAACAGTTTAGAACAGATAGAACTATCCAGTATAAATAAATTTAATGCTACTTGATTTTTTGCTCTTATTCATAGGAAAACTCGGACGACGATGACTGGGATCTGATGAATCGACGAGAAGTGGTAAGAGGAAAAAATTAATTGTTTTAAAAGTTATAAAGTTTGTTCGTTCACTGCAACCAGGTATATCAATCATGTTTCGCTCGCTACTCTGGTTTAAATAAATGATTACAAAGCCCAGTCGAATTGTAATCAAGACCCAACGTTTCGACACTCCAGTCTAGTGTTTTTATCAGGGGTGATCTGAAACTGCGATCGTGGCTTCTTAAATACCCAAGGGATGACGTCACCTGCCAAGAAGATGCATATATTCTTCTGGCAAATAGGCGCCGTCATCCCTATTCAAAGCATGATGACTCATATTTATATGCCACGCTTCTAGGCAAAGTCTTTGACCGTAACGATTTATTTAAACCAGAGTATTTAAACCTTTGTAATCATTTATTTAAACCAGAGTAGCGAGCGAAACATGAATGTTTTAAAAGTTGTTCTTTCTCCCATTCTTCCTACCTCTGAATAGAGTTCCCATTTGTAATTGCATCCTTATCTTCTATTTTTAGTGGTTTTGATGTGAGGATTGATCAAAGGGAATTAGTCAAGTATGGAAGGTATACATATGCGACATTAAGACTTCTCGAGATATTAAAATATTTCTCGAGAAAATCTAACAACGATAAATTTCTTGAATAAACTTTTCGCCTAGACTGGTGAAATATTGGCCAGAATTAAATTTTGTGATCTGGCAAGGATTTCAAAAGCCCCTTTTGGGTATATTGGATGAAATAAAATTATATATCAAACTCATCCAACATAGACGTAAGGAATGAACGGCCTATTTAATATAATATAAATACGATTTTAAGTCCGCTGAGAAATCAGACATTGCTTATTATACAGCTGAGAAATCAGACATTAGGCAAAAAGTCCATTATAGTATTTGTGCATTGGTACACTAAATATGTACTCGTGTACTCTGCAACCTGTGCGTGGAAGCGACAAGGTTATTATAAAACCGCAAAACACAAACATTACCTGTTAACGGTCGCTTGTATCTAAGCAAACTGCATATCAGTATGAATAATAAATGAATTATACACGCCATTACCATGGCAACGTACTGATGCGAGAATAATTCGTTCAGTAAGCGAAGGTCCCAAAAAAATACTTCTTCGACGTCTTCTAGTTTAAAGATATCGAAAGAAAAACTTGGGAAAAGATATAACTTGAAGGTTTTTGGGTTGCTATATTAGAAGATTTCCATCGGTTAAGGGAACTGAAATTGCGTAAAATTTACACTGTGCAGCTGTGAGTCTATAACGGCAATATGGCGATAGAACAAGATTGGCTTATTTCTCTGTCTGTTGTGTATGGCCTGGGTGCAATTGCTTCGCTCTGGGCAGCTCTACTCTCGCCAATGATCCTAGATTACTGGGACAAGCCGCGAGGCCTGAAGAAACGTGGTGAACGAGATTGGGCAACCGTGTTTCTCATTTTCCTATTGCTACAGCCTTTCACATTCGCTGGCTGTGCGGTGGGGATGTGGTGGATTGATGCATTCGCATATATCCCCCCAGTACATTTCGTGTGCACTTTTATATCTTTCCTCGCAATCGATTTCTTTAACGAAGACACATCGAACACTTATCGAGTCCTGTAAAGCAAAACTTTGGTTGGGAAGAATATATAATTTGGAAACTTTAATTCGACTTGGACGATGTCGTCTACGATTATGTATATATACAGTTCCTGCTTTCGAAAAGCGGCTTTTAAAATGGATTTCATTGATGGAAACTTTTTGGGTGAAAATATTCGTTTAATCTGGAAACATTATTTCGACTTTCGGACAACTATCCGTGTACAATATTCATTCTCCTTTCGAAATGCACCTGTTATTATTGTTTATAGTTAGAATGGATTTCTTTTATGCAAAGATATCGAACAATTTGTAGGATTCATCTTTACTTGTATTCACATAATTTAAAAACGTATAATTCCTCTTGGAAGCGAATTATAAATGGCAAAAATATATGTTATAGTCATCACACCATACTGCCTTGTCCTGAGTACCAAGTGCTCCTTGCCAAGTTTTATTTGCTCGTATTTACGGCAAAAGGTTCCCTGCCAAGGAGCCTTGTTCCAAACTTGTCAAGGAAAACTTGCTAGTCTCTATATGGGGCTTAATACTATACTTGCAATGATGTTATTTCATTCAAAAGGATGTCAAAAGATGCTAACTAGTTTGTGAAATACACTTGTGAAATTTCATGTACAAATTACGAAACATTTCACTACTGCATTCATGCATGCCATTCGTCTATATATCTCTATACAATTTCCACTTGCCACAGAAAGCACTTGTGAATATTCTATAATAGTTGAAATACGTATTAAGTTGTACGAAATATTTGCTCAGGCCGAATGCCGAAAAACTCCATTCTACGATTAGAACAATATGGCTTTTGTAGGGCTAGGGAAAATGAACTTTAGAACAGCCATGTATTTCAATATTATGCTATTTGCGCACTTATAACACGTTTTCGTTTTGTTTTCAAATTTCAGAATATTAATTAATGTATAGTAGCACCTGCTACAGTTAACGACAGCAAACGTCATAATGGAAATAGCTAGAAAAAACTCGTGTATATAATAATTAAGAGTTGAAATTCTCTAGTGCATGTCAGAGTTTGTGTAATTTCTTGGATTGTAAGGATTCGCTTGTACTTTGTGAATAAATGCTTGTTGATGTATTGCAACTTACAAGATATAAGTGTTGACTTATATTTTATTTACTTGAAGTACTGACACCAGTATCTTACTTTTCAACTGATCTGAGGACCGCAGGACCAAGATCCTGGGTTGGGGTTAAGTCTGGACTGACCAGGACCTCTTTTAAGACTTTCTCAGTAGCGGGACCATCACGGAGAAGGGACCTAACTAAGGAGTGAGCCAGTGGGAACTTGTGGGGAATCTGTTCCGTACCTCTGGGGTTGGATTTTACGCATTTTCAGACACAACTTTTTGATACCTGTATGTTTCATGTTATTCTTCCTGTTTGCTTATATTTCAGACAGAAGGGACCTTCACTGGGAGGGGGGAGGGGCAACATGGAGACTGTGCATGAGATAACCTGATATGCGCTGGGGGATAACATGGGGGCTAGGGGGAGTTGGCCTCTCCAGTATATAAATTTTTAAACACTTTACTTGCAAACACGATCAAATTCAAAGGTATATTACGTCACTCTGTTGAACACGATTTTTCATATTTAACTTTATGACGTCACTCAGTTGAATATTATGTCTAAACCGGAGTGTTATACTATAGGATAATATCGTATGATTTATTGAAACAGAGTAATAACATTTATTTTCATACAGTCAGTACTGTACAGTGCAGTAGTCCATAGTTAGTACACAACTATATCGTGGTACTATCCGTCTTACTGAAGTAAACTGTGAGCATTAAATACATAATACATCATTCTATACATAGCTAAGTATTCGTTAACACGATTCATGTGACGATGCGTTTTTGATCCACACATTCGTTGTCTTCACAAATCATTCCTGGACATGAAGTGTTACATTCTTGGTCGAAAGTGCAACTTTTCTTGAACGTATTGGGACACTGTAAGAAATTCATAGGAAATACTGAGTTTGATAGAGTATTTATAGATCAGGATGCATGTATTAGATACCCAAAATCCTGATGTTATCCATACACCTTACATTGGCATCACCTATAGAGCTCGACAACTGGACTCTGTAGCTCAGTTGGTCAGAATGCTGCACCAGAATCGCAGAGCCGCAGCTTCGATTCCTGCCAGAGGACCTATATAGTTGCATTTTCGCAGCTTTTCCTGGTTGGGTCCGATAAAATGTATAAAATTCAAACTTAATTTTATCTTTTATCCAGGGGTGTATATTCTTCAATGAACTTTGATTCTTCCCCCCCCCCCACCCCTTCTTTTCAGATTTGATTCTTTTCCCCATATCTTTACTACATCAGTCTCGAAGGCCTGTACCTAATAGTAATAATTATTGACCGAACTCAACAACGATTTTGGTAAGACAATTTACATTTTACGTTATACAATAGTCATATGCACATATTGCTAATTTTTATGTTTTTTCACTTTATTCCAAATCGGCTTCTATATTCTGTCTTTCTCACACAATTGCCAACCCCAATCCCTGCTGACGAGTCCATGAAGGACGAAACACCGCGTACAGGGATACTGAATTTTACACACATGACTATCTCCTCTCGCTTTATATATTTTACATGCCTCCATACAAGCTTTTTAGTACAGCGCGATCATACTCTTTGGGTCTGATCAAATTTTTTACACCACAGAACAGGATATTTTCCGTTACAATTTCACACACGCATCTCCAATTTTATGTTCCACAAGTCTACACCTACACTTATATTTCTTAGGTTCACATTTATACATATACAAGTGAGTTTTTTATCTTTTATTCTCAGTTTTATTAAATACAACATTTTTTCACAAGCATACATTGTGCGAACAACACGAGGCCATCACACTATCATATTTCACACTACATTTTTTATTCTAACATTTAGGGACTATTGTGGCATAAATTTATTACTAGGACACCAATATGGTTCTCATTACCTATATCTAAACTTAAAAAACCCACGGAAACTTTTCTCTTCTTTTCCCTCTGCCTTTCCATTTTTTCTACTCTTCTTTGATTTTCTTCCCTAGCCCTAAGACCCTTTGATTATTTTCCCCCACCCGGGGGGGGGGGGGAATTATAGAAGAATATACACCCCTGCTTTTATCATCGAAGTCCGACTGTTAACTGATTGATTTCGTTCATTGAAACATGCTCCTAAACTGTGAAGACTGTATTTCTGTGACTTGATATCTGAAAACATTGGGTGGGTCAGTCATTGTTAACTCGTAAACTTGAAAGGTCGGCGCATGTTCTCAAATTTTTGGTAATGCTGACATGATCGCATGCACGTTTTTCTAGTTACAAATCAACCTCACTGGATAATAGTGATATGATAGTGAACTTTATTTAGGCACGGAGGCCTGTCATCGAAAATAAGATGATCTTCCCAGGCGCCGTGACATTTTAATTATTTACAATATTTACAAAGAGAATGAGAAATTAAAGCTATATACATAACAAAGTAATTCTACAGTTTATTTTTGAATATTTTTAGGGAAGTGGAATTCCTAATTTCAATTGGTATTGAATTCCATACCACTGCTCCGTTATATTCGAGACTATTTTTCAAAAAATTGGTGTTTGGTTTAGGGATAACAAAATTGTAGTCATGACCTCGTGTACCATGACTGCGAATTAAATTCGCTCGATTAAATGGCTGTGAAAGATAAGATGGGCCTAATTTGTGGTACACTTTGAACGTTAGACAAGATTTTTGTTTCATTCGCCTATCTTCTAGTGTGGGCCAATTTAAGTTATT